AAAAAAAAAAAAAAAAAAAAAAAAAAAAAAAAAAAAAAAAAAAAAAAAAAAAAAAAAAAACTCAAATTCTGATATTTAAAACTTTAGCTCTTACACAAAATAAGTCGATAGTGACTATAAACACCTCTTATGTTCAGTGCACATCTCTCTCACATAATAATAGCCGAAGAATAGGAGAAACGGTCTCTTAATGACTTTTCAAGTGCTTAAATAGAAAGATAGTTTTTTAAGCACAAAAAAAGTCATTCACAGCCAGACTGAAGTTATGACCCATATTTTTGACAAACTTAACGACTGTTAGCTCATAGTATGTCATATATATTCTTTGTTGCCATATGTGCTATTCTCCCCATTACAATTTTTCTGTTCTATTGGTTTTCTTTCCCCACTCAAATTCTTGCACTTTCTATTCGTGTTTGCCCAGAATTCTAAGGTTAGTGCGTAAAGAGCCGAAAGGCTCTAAATGGGAGCTATGTATGGTATGGGCGTGGAATATTACTACAAATGTTCGTGAAATGAAATCTGGCCTTTTTTGTTATTTCTCTAAACCTGGGGATGCCTCTATCTTCAAGCCTCGTATTCTAAAAAGCTCAAAATCTGGTATACATGCATTAGTTCCCTCTAGTCTTCTTTCTTCTCACTTGTTTTTCTCTATATAAACCCCTGGATTCTAACCATTGTGGTAAAACTCATCACTACTCCATAATCTTCCTATCCTGTTCTGTTTCTCCTTTTTGACATTTTCTGTAAGATGGAAAGGAACCAGTTATCAAGGCAGATCAACAGAATGAGACAATCACTATTTGATCAGGTCCATTTGTCTTATTTAAGCATCCATTTTCCTTGGAAACCTGTCCTTTTTTTCGTTTCTTGCTTTAAAAGGCTTCACTTCTGACAACGATAATCTCTTAACAAAAAGTAGAGAAAAGAGATTTGAACCGATAATCTCTTAACCAAGTAGGGGTGCTCACATTCACACTAACTTATTTTATCTCTACAGGGATCTCTTGATGAACAATTTGTCCAGCTTGAGCTGCTACAAGATGAGACTAACCCAAATTTTGTTGAGGAAGTTGTAACTCTATGCTACCGTGATTCCTATAGATTAATCCTCAACTTAGAGCAAGCACTGTCAGTAAATTTATAAGAACAAATTCTTTCCCTTCTGTTATGTTCTAACAAATTGATATCAGTGCAGACAGAAGAGCCCTCTTGACTTTAATCAGTTGGATAGCTATATGCAACAGTTCAAGGGAAGTAGCTCAAGGTAAATTCACAAAAGGAAATGAAAGAATAGGAACAGTAATAAAAATAACCAATAATTTGTTTATGAATGGATGGCAGCATTGGAGCAAGAAAGGTGAAAGCTCAGTGCACACTTTTTAGGGAATACTGCAAGTCTGGGAGTGGAGAAGGGTATAATCTTTTTCCTAAATGAAATCAATAGATTATTATTAAGATCAACCTATAAGCATATATTCTGGTTTATTCAATACTGATTCTGATGGCTTTTGTAAACATGTAAAGATGCTTTAGGACTTTCCAGGAACTGAAGAAAGAACGTACAGCTCTGAAAAACAAGTTTGAAGCTTATTTTCAGGTTTATATCTGACTACAATTCCTATTTTCCTCTTGTGAGTTAAAGAAATTTTGGATCTTTACTATAATTTTTGTGTTATTTTCTGAGCAGCTGAAAAGGCAAGCTGGTCCGAGTCAAATTGCAAGTCGTCCCAAGTAACAAATGATGGGCAACCAAAGGCAATGACTTCAAATGGGAAATCAAGCAGATGATTAGGTGGGCGTAGAGGCCTTGGAATGTAAAGATTTCAATTTCAAAGCTCTGTCTTAACTTTCGGTTTTGTAAATGGCTGGCTTATAGACTTAAAAATGCTCCTTGATGGGATGAATTGCACAGAATCCAAGTACTTATGTGTCCAGTAAACTTGTTACGAGTAAAGAAAGTCTAGGAGATCTTGACTATGCAACAATTTGACCAAAAAAAGGAAATCAAGAAATTAATGAAGAAAATCAAGACAACTGGGTTAACGAAATAGATCAAGAAGGATTCAAAAGTTACAAATTTGTGGGGGTTTGGAAAACTACTTTAGAGCCGAGGAAAGAAGTTTTCAGGATATTACGCTGGAAATGGTAGATTGTCTTCTTTGATTTTTTGTAGATTTGTTATTGATTTTAGCATGAGAATATTATAATGGCACCAGAATGGCATGCACAACCATGGTATTCAAACTTTGCTCATGCTTATAGAACAAAATGTAGCCTACTAGACAGCCATTCTCTAGAGCATATTCGCTTCCAGCATCATTACAAGTTTTAGCTTTCTACGCACCTTAAAGTGTCGAACTTAATAGATTCTTTCTCCTGGCCGAGGTACGCACAAGCACAACATCTGCTGCTGCAATGCCCTTCGCGCTGTGCATTCCCAAGTGTATCGGCTCCGCATCTAATCACATGAAACCTCATCCAACAAGTCCAGGAAACCCTTTGATGTCTTTTGGAGAGATTGATCACAACGAAATGGATTGGCTGATGCTGCTTCAAATTTCACCCAGAGTTCTTTCTTAAGAGTTTCCTCACCAGCACGTTTGCTAACCGGGAATACACTTTCACATTCCATCAACATGGGAGTGTTACCTATGATCGGCAAGATGACTCCAACTGAATCTATATGCACACTTTCTTAGTCAGAAGCGCCTCATAAATCATAGGCCAAACACTATATTGATATTATCAAAATTCCCTATGAAAAAACAGAAACTAAACTAATTCATGAACAGGGACGTCTGGTAATTGAAAAACAATAAATACCTTGGTGGGTGAAAGATTTCTTGGCTTCGTAGTAACATCCATCACAATTAGCACTTTCCACCGAATGAGAATCAGACGGCTCCAGTAAAACACAGGTTTTCGGAGGTGACATAAACCAGTCCGGAGAAGCTTCAACCTTCTTTTTAATTCCTGATTTGTGAGCCTGTTGAATTCCTAGGAGTTCTGGATACTTCAAAGCCAACCCATCAGACGTGTCACTGCCAGAAGAGGAATCATGAACGCCAACGGGAAAAGGTGTGGCCTTGTAAATCCTTTTTTTGTCTTTTTGTGACGATTCTGAAATGGGTTCGAGCAGCACACAAGATTTTGGAGGCGACATTTTTAAGCATGGTGTCATAACTAACATAGAGCAATTCCTCTTTATTGATAAGAATGGTGGGGAAGCAAATCGTCGCTGATGAATTGTCCCTACTTGTGTTAAATCAGTCCCAGAAGGCTCAGCACCACTAGGCTGAGGTTCATTACCCTCTAGCAAATTGTCCCCCAGTTTGGTTAAATCGGACCCAAATGGTTTACTAACACTAGGCTCAACTCCATTACCTTCAAGTAGATTCTCGTTTAAATCTCCACATGCAAAAAAACATGGTTGTGCACCCTTAAGTGTACCCGAAGTAATTCCGCCAAGTACAGATTTAGAGTATGCTGCATGTTTCGATGAGAGTGATTTAGAAATAGGAAGAGGAGTGAGTAAAAACAATTGTCTTCCCCTCTCAATATTGCATCCAGCACGCCACGATACAAGGGATGAAGGGGAGATCAGATCTTGAACTTCAGCATGGTCTGGGCTATCAATAACGTTGCTTTCCGTATCATTAACCAAAGCATTGCTTTCACTAGCCAACGGTTGTCCTATACCATCATCAGAATCTTCTGATGAACGAGAGAACGCCATCTGAAACCTGGGGACCCAGGGCTGCATTTATGAAAATTATCCCACACGAGTTATCAGGATGGATGGAGTTGCAATTTACAACAAGTTACTGAAAATTTACCTTCAAAGAAGATAGCATATCATACAAGACATGAGTGAAAGATTCGATCTCTTTTCTCCCTTGTTCGTCTATTTTCTTCAGCTCAAATGCTTTGACAACGAGTTCATCGATCTGCCAATTCAGTACAGTATGGTGAAGCTGTGCAACATAGCGTAAAAAAAAAATACCAACCAACTACTATACAAATTATAGAAGATCTTAAAATTGGTGCAGAAGTCTACCGCCTGGTTTAAGAACACGTACTTCATAGAATTCATGTGTACATAATCTACCCTTCCTTACGGACCAATATGTCATTTCTTAATACCTAAGAGTGAACAAATGTCTTAAAGAAACAACTTCTTTGTTTGACCAGATTAATTGTTCTTCTGCTTTGGTGAAATTGGTGATAAGACCCGCAAACAATGATTTCTACACTGCAAGTAACTAACATTACAGGGTTTTGATAACAAATTTTCCTCTCAAGCTGTCTGCAATTAAAGCACTTCAAGAAGCAAATAAAACAAAACTTGTTAGTATCAAACACATACACAATGGAATACTTGTTAGGGAGCATAAGTAAAATCGATCGTAATCACATACCCACAAAAAGAAATTAAACAAAGAGACACAAAGATTTACATGATTTAAGTTGAAGAAATTTTCCTACCTTCATAGGTAGCAACCAATCTCAATAATTAAAGTATTTGCAAAGTGTATATCTCACACTCCTGCACTACAAAATTCTTCAACAAAATTTCTCTCAAATGTCACGCAACAAATACAAAATGACATTTAAATTCAATCAAACTCTATATTTCTTAACCATCCTATATAAACCTTTATTTAGGCATAGAAGCATTAATGTCATACATGAATAAGATGATTCGTAAATGAGAGATAAACCAAATAAATGAGATTGATGAACCAAATAAATGTCAATATGTGCATAGGAGATGCATCAACCTATTCTTCATGACAACTTACAACAATCTCCACTTTGGCCGAAGATGCCCAAGCAGATAACCGGTTTAGCTGTCACTAAGTCAACGGGCTACTTCTTCCATCCAACATTGATCAGATCCAAGCAATGTCAAAACTTTTCACGAGCAATCACCTTTGTTAACATATCCGTAGTATTATCAGCCGTTCCAATTTTTAATAAATGAATGTCCCCTTCATGAATAATTTCTCAAAATAAAATGAAATCAGATATTAATGTGCTTGTTACGAGCATGATGAACTTAGTTCTTCGACAAATAAATACATTTTGACTATCACAAAACACATCTACGTGTTATTTAGCAATACTCAAGTCATTAACCAAACCATGCATTCAAATAGCTTCTTTAAAAGCTTCAGTGAACACCAATAAACATGTCCACCAACAATAGTGAATGGATAACTAGTAATCGATCGACGTTTATTAATCTCCACTTGTCCCTTGGAAGCAATCGACATGTCATCAACATACAAGGCCAAGTAGATAAACAAGCCAAGGGACCTAAAATATATAGATGTATTTTGTGATAGCAAAAGTGTTATTTGTTTGTCGAAGAACCAAGTCTCGTACCAAGCATAATGATGTCCGATTTTATTTTGTTCAAGAAATTATCAATGAATGGAACATTTGTTTATTGAAAATTGGAACAACCGATAATCCTGCAAATATGTTGACAAAGGTGGTTACTCGTGAAAAGTTCCAATATTGTTTGGATCTAATCAATGTTAAACGAAAGTAAGTAGCATGTTGACTTGGTGGCAGTCAAATCAATTATCTGCATGGTCATTTATCTGCCTGGACATGGTGAGTTGTCATGAAGAATAAATTCATGACATTTATTTGGTTCATCCTTCATTCATTTGGTACATCACCTTTAGTTCATCCCTTTTGATGCATGAATCATAGTTATTTAGTTGAAAAACATTGAGTATGATTGAGTTTGGTTGCTACCCGAAGAGGAATTGCTTCTCTCCTAACTACGTAAATCTTTGTGTCTTTTTTGTTAAATTTCTGTTGTGTGAGTGCGATCGATTGTGCTTTCACTTCCGTTAGAACAATACAAACTGCATTTATTAAGATCCAAGCGAAGCATGAAATCAGAGTTCATGAACTTCAACGAAGAGACAATCCGGCTGCTTACTGTGCCCTGCCCCTCTAATTCCCTTCCGTTCTCCCCAATTTTGAAAATGAAATAAACTCAAACGAAACACCGGTATGAAACATATCCGAACTTTCACCCAGATGAGTGTATTAGAGCGAATACTAATTTCAACCACAGCAATATCAAAACCCCGATACATTAAAATGGAGGAAAATTCGAGTGATTTACCTGGTTAGTGAGCGCCGAGAGATCAGACTGAACTAGAAGGAGACGATCGAGAGCATCATCTTGCTCTTCAACCTTAAACCTATTATCATCTTCCTTTCTCTTGGCTGTAGTGACAGATTTGGAGGAAATTCGGCCGTAATTGTGGTTCGCTAAGTCCCTCAATGGTTTTCTCCCAAATTTCCTTCTCACCGACATCTTGATCGCCGCCGGTAGCACCCCCTTCGGAAACCTGCAAATGTAGCTATTTCACTTTTTGAATCTCTCCGATGGCGGGCTTTTGAGTGCTTTGTACAATGTTCCAGAATCGAAAAATGGAGGCTTCATCGGCACGAATTGGAACGGGCCAACGCATTATTGGGCTTTCTACAATTCTTGGATAAGCGAGGCAGATTTAAATTATGCATTTTTAATACTAAATTTAAACCTTATTTTGATAAAAGATTAAATTGTTATTTATTTTAGGCCCAATAAAATAAAATAAAATAAAATAAACTCTGTATAAAATATTGAGTTTTAATAATACTTTAACCCTAAAAAAAATTTAAAAATACACTTTCTTTTCAAAGTTCACTAATATTCTTAATATTCTTAAATTTTATAAATAAATAGTAATTTTATTTTAGCATATTAATTTCATAATAGTAGACAGAAACTGTGGATAGAATCCATTTTTTAATTTGATGCAATTATATTTAAGTGAGTTAAATTAAGATAATTAAATTTTAGAATTTAGACTCATTTTAAGTTTGTAGACAGAATTTTATGTGATGTACAAGGCTCTGATCCCCGAC